GAAGTCATCATATTACTGTGGTCCAACAGGAAGTCATCATATTAATATGTTTCTATATATATATATATATATAAATATAACTGTTGGACCACAGTAATATGATGACTTCCTGTTGGACCACAGTAATATGATGACTTCCTGTCTGAACTAATGTGAACCAGGAGAGTCTGCTGGGTTTAGAATTCATTTGTGAACTTTGTCAGAATTTACAATAAAGTTGTGTGAGTTTGAACAGAGACAGAAACAGAAGGATTGTGAAGACGGAGTCTCAAGCTGGTTTGTGTTGCGGTTCAGGTGGATCTCTGTGAGTCTGGGTGTTTCCTCTCTACAAGGGGGCGGGGCTTCTCTCCGTGTCACACCTGCTGTCACTCTGTGATGAAGTGAACGAAGGTGACAGGAAACACTCCTCGCCTGGTGGCATCTTCTTCAACGTGACCGAACTGAAGAACAAAACGACACTAATGACCGAAGTGAAAGAGGAAGTGACAAAGCCAACCTGCCGTTGGGCTGGTGATGATGTATTTCCTGTTTGTTGCAGCTGTCACTCACCCACCACTCGCTGTCCTCCTCCCCCTCCACCACGATCACCTCCCCCTCTGTGAACGTCAGCTCGTCTGCATTATCAGCTGAACAGTTGTAGATGGCCTTCACCCTCTTCAGCTTCTGCTTCTGCACAGACAGACACACACACACACACACACACACACACACAGAGAGACACACACACACGCACACACAGAGACAGAGACGCGCGCGCACACACACACAGAGACACACACAGAGACACACACGCATACAGAGACAGAGACACGCGCACACACACACAGACGCGCGCGCGCGCGCACACACACACACACACACACACACACACACACACACACACTTGCTTTAAGGACAATGAAACAAACACACTCATCTATAGGTGAGTTGTAGTGTATTTGTTAACATGTGTATCGTGTGTATTCATAACTGCAGTAACTTGAGGACCTAACTGATGTTCCTCCTCTGGTCCTGTAGAGGAGGTGAGCTGAGTGACTTTAATATTCAGTTGGTGAGGTTCTGAAAGTGACCTGAATGCGTCTGAGCTTCACTGACCGACAGTAAGAACCTACAGCTGTGTTCTTTGGTGATCTGTCCCTTTAAATCCACCTGTCTGTTGGTGCTGACCTCTGACCTCTGACCTGTGTTCCTGTTGTGTTCGAGGACTTACGGAGAAGGTGCTTCTGGGTTTGGGTGTTGGAGGACTGGAGCTCTGTGGGGATCTGGCCTGTGACCCTGCAGAGAGAACAAACAACGATTATTAATAAACCAGACGCACCTCAGACGAGGCTCTGGAGGCCTTTCAGTACCTCGTTTGTCCACTGATGCGGTCCTGAGAGGAGGTCTCTGTGGAGGACACTTCACTGATCTGAAATCAGACAAGTGAACCCATTACAAACCAGTTCAGACCAGTACAAACCAGTTCGGACCAGTACAAACCAGTTGTGACTGGAAACAGCTGGTACAAACTAGTATTCATCAGTACAGACCAGAACTGTCTAATACAGTCCAGTACGGTCGATAACAGACCAGACCAGTCCAGTACGGTCCAGTAGAATCCAGTACGGTCCACTAGAGACCACTATATTTTACTACAGTCCAATACAGTCCAGTACAATCCACTACAGTCCAGTAGAATCCAGTACGGTCCTCTGCAGACCACTACATGTTACTACAGTCCTGTGCAGTCCAGTACCTACCCGGTGGGTGATTTAGGGGACTTGGGTCCCGGTGGTCCTGGTGGTCCCAGTGGTCTGGTGGTCTGGTGAAGGGGGACTGGTGGTGGGAGGGGCGGAGCTTTGTAATGGGGTGGCGATGGGATGGTGGGTGCTGGTGGGACTGGAGGAACCGGGGGGAGTCCTGCTGCTAGTGGGGGAGGCAGAGGGGGGAGGGGGGTGTTCCTGGCTGACATGGTCTTGGTCTCCAACATGCTGGACCTCTTGTTTACTGGAGGGGGAGGAGCTACTGGGAGCACTGGGAGAGGAGGAGAGTTTATTCAACCAATAGGAAGCAACATATGAATATAAATAAATAATACAACAGCTGGTTTGTTATTGATTAGATCTTCATTCCTTCATGGAGACAAAGAGGTTTGTGCTTGTTTAAAACGGATCCTAACGCTTCATTTCCTGTCAATCAACCAATCAAACAATCGATGACTCGACTGATCGATGACTCGACTGATCGATGACTCGACGTGTTCACAGTTCACAGCAGCTGAAGTCTGAATAGGACTATTGAGGCTTTTATTTTGTCGCAGACAGGAAGTCCCTGACTCACCGTACATGGAGGAGTTCCTCTCGGGGGTTTGAGGGTTGGGGGGGTCAGAGGACGACCGCTGCCTCCCGAAGGTTTCCATGGCAACAGGTTTACCGGGTCCTGAACCTGCAGGACGACAAAAACCCTCAAGACTCCGTGTTCATTCACTCTGTCCAGGTATTGGATGATACACGTTGATGGACACTAGTGACCAATCAGAGAGCTCGACCGAAGGTTGTTGTGAGTTTTATATCAATAAAACGGGTATTTTTAAAAACTCTGGTTACTTTGTATCTGTGATGTCATCAGACGTCAACCTCAGGTGCTTCAAGTGAAGTCAAAGCTCCACGTGTTAAAGCTGCATTCTCTCTAGTGTCCACCAGGGGGCGACTCCTC